TTCACCCTCCACTCGTGCCTCCTCGAATTCTGCAGCACTGCTGGTCACAGCTGACCTCCAGCTGGAGCGGTTCCCAGTTCTCAGTGTCTATGCCAGAGTTTTTAAGGTTGGCTTTGAGGCCATCTTTAAAGCTCTTTTCCTGTCCACCAGAAGAATGGAAAATATAGAGATATATGATTCACACACAGAGAGAGATATAGTATCATAGATTTTAAAGGGACCCCTAGAGAAGGACAATGATATGTTGCATGTTCCATAGTAGGCAAACCAGACCATCTCTACATCAACACTGACAAAGAAACAACAAGAAATACTGTTTACTCACAAGCATAAAGAAATTATATATATAAGGAGCCAACACTTGCTCATTAATTTATTTTCCAGATCACCAGACTGGGCCACAGCGATGCCTGGCAGGGGACGGCTAGTATATTATATGAATGAAATGATAAGCTACTGTAGATCTGTGGGGGGAAAGCAGAGTACAGATGGTATTCCGCACTTATAGATAGGGCTATTCATATTAGATTAATATATTTTCTAGGTCCACCAGTGCCACTCTGTGGTCAACCTCCAACAGATGTTGACCAGAGAGTTGTACAAGAAGACCTAAAGATGTCTAGAGTGAACACTTCTGTTGTCAACATCTGGTGCAACTTGGCCATAGATCTGTTCTGGAAGGATTTCTAGAAAGGTGTTCTTCCAAATTTTAGGAATGTGGACTTTTTCTCCTTTTTTTCCTCTTGCAAAGTGGAGGATCTGCTGTATTAATTCAATGAATGCAATAAAAATGAATGTATTGTTGAAGGCTTTCATAGCCAAAATCAATGGGGTGTTGTGCGGGCAAAACTTGTGCGGCAGTTGCACCCGTATCTTGAGAATCCAGACTTTGGTCCACACTCTTGTTACATCCCAAATAGACTACTGCAATGCGCTCTACGTGGGGTTGCCTTTGAAGATTATTCAGAAGCTTCAAGTAGTCCAATGGGAGGCAGCCAGATTTCACCGGACTGGGGTACAGGGAGCATGCACCTTCCTTGTTACGTCAGCTCCACTGGCTGCCAGTCTGCTACCAAGTACAATTCAAAGTGCTGGCTTTGGCCTATAAAGCCCTAAACAGTCTGGCCCAGCTTACCTGTTCAAACATAACTCCCTCTATGAACCATCCCTGGGAAGGCCCTGCTCTCAGTACAACCTCCTTCAAAGGCACAGTTTGTGGGAATGAGAGACAGAGCCTTCTCAGTGGTGGCCCCTCAGCCATGGAACACCCTGCCTAGTGAAATCAGATCAGCCCCCTCCCTCCTGATCTTCAGAAAAAAGCTAAAGACCGGGCTGTGGCGCAGCTAGTTAGCAGCCACCTGCATTAAATCATTACTGACTGAAAGGTCATGAGTTCGAAGCCAGCCCAAGCTAGAGTGAGCTCCCAACCATTAAGAATCTAGCTTGCTGTTGACGTATGCAGCCTGAAAGACAGTTGCATCTGTCAGTTAGGAAATTTAGGTATCACTTTATGCGGGGAGGCTAATTTAATTAATTTATGACACCAAAGAACCTTCCAGCAGTGTGTGTAAGAATGAGGAGGTACCATCAAGGACTCGGTGTCACAAGTGGCCGGAATCAAGAATATCCTCATGAGCTGGAAAGTTGGAATGTTAAATTGCCTCTGTGTCTGTCTATATATGTTGTATGTCTAATGGGCATTGAATGAGTCCCCTGTGGGGTGAGAAGGGCAGAATATATGAGTCCCCACTATTCATCCTTTTTTGGGCTTCTCCCTCACAAACACACTTTTTCCACTCCTATCTCACCCAGGGTTTTATCATTTTAGCTTGTGCATTTGGCCTGCCCATTGTGTTCGATTTTCTATTATGTTATATTTCACTTTTTTACACTGTTTATTTTATGTATTTTATTGTGATGTTTTGTATTTTATTTTGCTGTATTGTATCTTCGGGCTTGGCCTCATGTTAGCCGCCCCGAGTCCCCTTTGGGGAGATGGTGGTGGGGTATAAATTATTATTATTATTATTATTATTATTATTATTATTATTATTATTATTATTACACAGCCTGGAAAACACACAACATCCAAATAAAATAAAATCACGTTTCATATAAAAGTATGTACAGCCCAAGGAAGTAAGCGGGATATGTCTCTGGTGTTTTCCAAGCAGAGGCTGGATGGCCATCTGTCAGTGTGATGGCGCGAGTGGCGCCACCTATGTGTAGAACTGTTAGTTGCAAGATTTAAACTGTTGTATCATGCTTAATCCTGCCTTTTTACTCTGCTTATGTATAGTTGGATTGATTGGTTATTTATAGCTGTCAATCAATGTTGTTTGCACCAGTTGAATTGCTTTCTCAAGCTCAATTGTTTGGCTCCACCTCTTCCTGGAGGAGGGGAGTGCTTCCCTTTTTCATTCTGCCATCAGAGTTTCTATCAGATGGACGTGAGTAAGAGACTTGACTCTAAAAGCCCCTGCTTAAATTACTTCTCAGCACCAATTCTGAGGTTCTTACCCTTGAGACTTAAGAGACAGAGGTCCTTCTGGTCGATCGCAAACCTGACCGGGGTATAGGGTGGCAACCTGTGTTGGACGGGGTTACACTCCCCCTGAAACCACAGGTCCGCAGTTTGGGAGTCCTCCTGGACTCATCGCTTACGCTTGAGGCTCAGGCGTCGGCGGTGTCTGGGAGGGCTTTCGCACAATTAAGACTCGTGCGCCAACTGCGACCGTACCTCGCGAAGGCTGATCTGGCCGGGGTGGTCCATGCCTTGGTCACCTCTAGATTGGACTACTGTAATGCGCTCTACGTGGGGCTGCCCTTGAAAATGGCTCGGAAATTCCAACTGGTCCAACGGGCAGCAGCCAGGATGTTAACTGGTGCTCCTTACAGAGAGAGGTCAACCCTCCTGTTCAAGGAGCTCCACTGGCTGCCATTTATTTTCCGAGCCCAATTTAAGGTGCAGGTGCTTACCTACAAAGCCCTGAACGGTTTGGGACCAGCCTACCTGCGTGATCGCATCTCCATCTATGAACCCACACGCTCTCTTCGTTCATCTGGAGAGGCCCTGCTTGTGATCCCACCAGCGTCGCAAGCGCGTTTGGTGGGGACACAAGACAGGGCCTTCTCCGTGGTGGCCCCCCGACTCTGGAACACCCTCCCCAAAGAACTTAGACAGGCCCCTACATTGGCAGTCTTCAGAAAGAACTTGAAGACCTGGCTGTTCCGATGTGCCTTTCCCGAATAGGAAACCTCCATTACCAAGTCCCACAAGCACTTTATTAAAGCCAAGATCGCCGCACACTGCACACTGCACTTGTCCATAAGCCTCATTTCCACCTGTCACATCAGCACTTTTAACCCTTGTACCCTTACTCTGGCCCGGCCCAGTTTAATTGTGTCTTAGTAGATTGTTCATTGCTTGTTGTTTTAGATTGCTTTAATTGTTTTTAATTTGCCTAGGTTTGTATTGTTGTATTGTTTGTTGAGGCCTTGGCCTTTGTAAGCCGCAACGAGTCCTGCGGGAGATGCTAGCGGGGGTACAAATAAAGTTTAATAATAATAATAATAATAATAATAATAATAATAATAATGCTTCATGTTCAGACCAATCTGAACGACGTTGGAAGTCTCAAGCGCCTTCAAACCAGTTCTTTTGGCACCAGAGAAAGATCCTGAGTCTTCAAACATAGGCCATTTGAACTGGGGTTGTGGTTTGCTCCGGCATTCACAGCCATTGAGGAAAGAGGAAACTTGGTGAGGCTTCTCAGCTTCAAACTCCTTGGACCCAGGACTAACTGAGACTGTAATGTATATTTTCCTTCACCCCTCTGAAATTCCAGCTTAT